ATAATATTGCTGTTTTTGTATCATATATATATATATATATATATATATATATATATATATAAAGCTAGGATGCTAGCCCAAGATGTCCTGATCACCATGACAACCTTGGGATTATCCCAAGTGGTTTGTAGCTCAAACCCTATTTGCTACATTCTGTTTGGTTTGAGGTTGAAACTGAAGGAAAGGGAGATGGTGTTGTACCCTTTCAATGGAAAGACTGCTTCCATTTTGACAGCTGGATGTGTCTTTCCCTGGAGGAAATTTCAGATATTGCCAAGTTTAAAATCTTCTGCAGTTAACAGCTGGTTTATCAGTATCCTAGCTTGATATTAGTCATTCTTTGGACTTGAAAACTGCAGTTTCTATATTGTCCTCACAGCTCACCATGATATATAGATGGCCTGCAATAACAAAAAATAGGACAACTTATTATTGCAATGACACAGCTTTCTAGGAAGTGAAAGTAGCAGAATATTTCTGTGTCTCCTTGATAGCATCTGCATAGGTACAATCAGGGCAAATGTTCAACCTGGTCAATATTCTGGTGAATTTGGGTCCTTTCCAGTTGGTCCCACAGGCAAATGTTTGCAACCATTGAAAATACTCAAAACCATTGTGTATGACACTTTATTTTCTGTCACTATGGCTGTTCTTCAGCAGAGCATTTCAATATGTAAGTGGACTCCATGTGGTCAAGTGCTTTGTTATATTGGTGTGAATAGCTGCAGAGCCATGTCTTTGGCAGAGCCAAGTCCTGATTCTATAAGTAAAAATCTGTACAAAGCTCTGGTGCTAGAAAGGGTTTGTTATCTCCCTGCCATTGTGTAAGATAAGCAGAGTCCCTAAATGGTGCAAATGTGGAAAGCATGTAGTGACTGGATTCATCCCAATTCCAGCCTGTGCCTGCAAGCCACCTTTCCATAACTATAAACTGCTGCACGGTTAACACTAGAAATATTAAATGGCTTGTCCTGCTGTGCTCCCTGAAGTACAGATAACTTGGAATATGGACTTGTATAAACCAATACTGCTGAACCTAGCCCATAGGACATATTCTTAGTCCAACCGTAGAATGTAGGAATATGGCTATTATGGTAGATTCTATCATTTAATTTCTGATAACACAGTGCACATTCTTAACAAGAGATATTATCTTTGCACATTTAGCATATTTTATTTTGTTTTAAGAGGTTAAATATTAACATGGTTTAATAACAATAACAGTAATAATAACAGTAATTAAAATATGTTCCCATTCTTTATTTATCAGTTAAACCGGCTTCCATCTTCATTGGTCAATCGGTTGTGCAATTTTTACTTTTAATCATATTCCTTTCTTATCCCAAATCATTTCCAAAACACAGATTATTCTTTCTATTGTGTACTTGTGAGATTCTCATTAAGCATCAGAACTTACAATTGGCTTCTGGAGAGCACACTCTGATATGGAACTGTAATTGTTCAGGGAGCTTTGTCTATGTAAAACTATTGCAGGATTGTAGCTCTAGACCTTACTGTGATACTCATCCTACTATAGTAGAGATACTGAAATACCATATCTACTCAATTCTAAGATGGGATTCTTTTCCCAATTTAGCATGGGGGCAAGTTCATCATTTTAGAACTGCATATGAGGGGGTAAGGGCAAGCAGCTGCTGTGGCTGGGGTTCCAGCCCCTACCCAGAGTTGGGGCATAGTCACAGCTGCTGCCTACCCCCCATGGCACCTCTGAACCCCAGCATCTCCCCCCTTCAGCTTCTTCCCCCCACCTCCTCACCCACACCCCAGTCTCTGCTGCCATACCTACCCCTTTCCCTCCTCTTGCCCTTACCCTTCTTCTGCACCAGCAGGCTCCATACATGCTGCAGCCTGGAACACTAAGCATGGCCCCAGCCCAGCCAAATAACAGTGGTGTGAAGTCCACGTGGATGCTACAGTGGCTGGCTGCACTGGGGCCATGATCAATGGGGCTCCAGGCTAGAACAGGAACTAAACCTAGGAATGCAGATAAAGAGTAAGGGAGGGAGGGAGCAGAGGCTTGAGGAGGTTGAGAGGGGATGAGGGGCTGTGGGGTAAAAGTGGTAACAGAGGCTGGGGAAAAGGAAGGCCCAAGGCTGCAGGGACTCAGACAGGGGGCAGAGGTGGCAGGGAGGCAGGCACAAGCAGATACCACTGCCTGCCCCAGTGGGGAGTGGGTGAATTAAAGATGAACTTCCAGTAATTAAATTCTATATATGGAAAATTAGAACAAATTTATACATTTTCCACATATAGAATCTAATTGCTGAAAGGTTGTCTTAAAGTCAGGGTCATCTTAGATTTGAGTAAATATGGTAATATGAATTTGTAGTGCACAGGTATATCATTGGAAGTGCAGATCCCTGTTCTGGAATTGTGCAGTGATATGTGGTAGATGGAAGTGTTGGTCAAAGAGTGACCTTGAGCTGTATTTTAACTAAAATCACAAGTCCCCCCTAAAATGCACTTGAAAACTTCTACAAATGATGCCTTTGTTGGGAACCAAAACTTCCCTTTTAGGGACCAGTAGTATCTATGGTGTCTGAAATCCAGAATTTCCTTTAAAACTGCTATTGTTTAGGCAAGATAAGAAATGTGCCCAATGTTTATGCAGCACCTAATGAAGAATGTCATTTTTTCTCCTGACTGTTTAAGGAGCCTTGTTCACTAATAGGCCCCATGCGTAGCCATCAGATACAAAGTGTTGACTCTCTGCTGTGCGGCTAGCGGAATCCAGTGAGCTATTGCAGAATCTCTACCACTATATACAAGACAATTATTATCAAGCATGCTGCTACAAGATCTTGTGATATAGCACAAGGTAATTTGTGTTAATGAATGTCAAGATTGTAGATGCTATGCTAACGAACACTTTACAGACCCCATGTGGTGAATTTCAACAATTGGCATGCATTTGTCGCTCTTAAATTCTGACCTACACCTAGTCCAGTGTTTATTCTCCTGCATAGGTGTGAACCACTGGCTGCATTTAATCAGGGGTGTTACTAAAGGAGGCAGTGAAAAATTCTACTCCAGTACTTACTGTATATTTGACTTTAGCAGGTCAAAATCGTTAGCTAATGAGCTATTCCATACAAATTAAGAGTTCTTTGCCTCTCTGACAGTAGTGAAGACTTTTTGCCTGATTTCTAGGGTTGACTATCATTCACAAATTCCCTGGAAATCAACAGGAATTACAGTTGCTTAGATCACTTGCCTGCATAATTTTTCTTTCTTTCTGGAGTTATATATTTCAATCAATTTTCACTCCTGGATCTGCACAATGAGCTTTTGACTGGCAGTCCTATATATGTAAACATTCTGAATTACTGAGTTGTAGACAATGTTTTCTCACACCATTCAACCAGTTGTAGGAGATACTCCTTTCCTACTACACACATGTAAACGGGAGAAAAGAGTACATAATTTAGAGAAAACTTAACCTAAACCCTGAGAGAAGAAGGTCACTAAAAGGTGCTCTATAGGATGCATGTCTGCAGAGTATAATAATTATAATGAAGATGGATATTGATAGAAGTAGGAACTGTTATGTATTACTTTTATTTGTATTATAGTAGTTCTTAGAAGCCTCAACCAAGATCAGATCTCTATCACACAGAAAGAAAGAAAAAATTCCTATTGCAAAAACTGACTGACACAAGCACAGTAGTCTACTCATTCATATATGTTCCATGATCAAGGTTTACATAGACCAAAGATGGCAGTAAACATTTTTTTTTCCATTTTGCAAACAGGCAACTGAGGCAGAAGAAGATTGACTTGCTCAAGTTCAAACAAGGAACTGAACTGGCAGAACAAGAAACTGAACTGAGATCTCCTGAGTCCTAGTCAGTTGCTTTAACATGAGAACATCCTTTCTTCCTTTGGGTGCACCAGAAGGAAAAAAGGTCAGCTGTACATCTAATGGTGGTTTACTACCTGAACAAATAAGGACCATGCTGCAACATTTGAGGTCAGTCATTCAACTAGACTAAGTAGTGAGAGGCCTAGCAAACTGCTCTGACCGGGAGTTGAACACACTGGACTGCCTAAAATATTGATGAAGTGCTACAAAATGGTGAGCCTTTTCAATGTTCAACACTTTTTAGCTATACAATTTCCTGGAAGCATAAATCCAAGACAGTAGGACTCAACTGGCATAGACACTTTTCTCTATTAAAAATCATTGCAAAACCATGCATGTTCTTACATAAGATTTCAGAAAGGCCATGAAAATGATCTTGGGACAAGGTTGGGACAGACCTGTTTGTGTTCAATAATAGAACTATATGGTCATAATAGATTATTACTCCAGTTTTTGGGAGAGTGGATTATCTGGCGGACACTCAATCAAAGACAGTAATTAGGTGCTGAAGGCACATGTTATGGGGCATGGCATACCTATACCTTGTATTCAGACAATAGTTTGTGAACAAGACTTCTCCTCCAGGGTACCACAGAGTAATGGGAAGGAAGAATCAGCTGTCAAGACAGCCAAAATGCTCACGGAAGGAACAAAAAAGACTAGATATAATCCTTATCTGACTTAGTTGGACATTCACAATACTCTCTTTCTGGGATTTGATAATAGCCCAGCCTAGACACTGATGGGGTGAAGTACCAGGACACTACTTTCCTGCTGCAATGGGGTGGAGGGAAAACAGACAACATATGGAGGCTTCTAATAGAATGGCAAAACAGATAAGTAGCATATTACAATACAGGAACTAAAAACCTGAGGTTTCTCTGTTACCAGTAGGATTCTTTTTGCCAGTGACTTGCAAGGATTGACATGGCTCCTGTACCCAAGCTGGTATCAAGTGAACTTTAATAGTAACCCCTATGCACTGTTACAGGTTTTCTCCCCATAATATGACCTGGTAAGTGCTCTTTTAGAAGTTACAGCAGCAACCTTCAGTGATACCAGCCTTGGGTCCTCTGCTGGGTATGTGGGATGTTTGTTTCTGGCTTTTCAGCTATTCAGGCAAAAAGTCCACAGCTGCCCCTGTCTCCCCAGAGATACAGCACAAATACACATCTTTTCCTTTGTTCATTACTTTCTCATCCCAAATTGTCCAATCCTCAAGTTCCATACCTTATCTTTTTAGATAAGGTACTCCAATCCTACTCAGTTTTTGGTTTTGTTTCTTTTCAGGGAAACTGTTGTAACCTGGTTCGCCCACTGTACCAATCACAGCAATCACTTTTTCCACTGCCTTATAAGGCATTTTGTACAATTTTATTGCTTAGTTCCAGGAATGCCTAGACTATAGCTCTGTGTATGAAACAGCACGTAAGCTGTTTTCTTTGCTGGAAAAGAAGCATGCTTGGAAATGCTATGCACACCATACAGCTGTCAAGATGGCTGCTACTTTTCTGGCTCAGGAGGCTAAATAGCATGGAGTCCTACATTAACTCTGTCACAGCTGTAGGTATTGGCTGAGCATTGAATTTCGTACCTTAAGCTCTGAGTGAGCTGCTGGCATAATCTTGTTGAGGCTTGTGAAGTAGAAAGAACTTTATTTGCAGGGACATATATAAAGACCTACTTACAGTAAAGAACAGACAGCCCTGCTACTGCCCTTGTCTGGGTCCTAAGCTTGTTTGACACAGAAGAGTCCTTCATGTCAAATAAACATAGTCCTTCAGGAAATGTGGGATCCCAGGATCTGGATGAGGCATCATGGAGCAGGAACTTCTTGTATGTCACAAAGTTAACCATGACACAGTAAAAATCTTTTTTTTGCATTCTGCCTTCCAAAAACAAGATTTTATTTGGGGGATGGGGGGTGTTGCATGAAAGAAAATATGGTGTATTAGAATCCTTTTGTAATATAAGACGATGGTGACTCCTTTGGTGCCAAGAAATAGTTGCCTGGCTTGTGGGGGGGAAACATTCTTAACACCATCTTCCCACCAACTTAAGCTATCAGATCACATGGGGTACATTTATATTAGCTTTATTTTTCCGGAAAAAAAAGTCTCGCTAACCAGCCTGAAATCAACTAATTGACAATAATTTCATTGTGGTGTCATGTCCCTAAGTGCTATGGTGGCTAAAATTCCCAGATCTCAGATTTATGCTGCTATTTCCATCATTGCTATAATTGTACAACTGAACTTGAGTGAGGGAGATAGGGGGGGTTTTAAGTAAAAAGACAAAGTTAGTGCAGGAAATACATTGTCTTCTTATTAGCAGTGCTTTTAGGTCATCTGATTCTCACCTATCTTCTTTTCTGTAATGAGAAGTTGCTTTCTTTTTTATCTCTTTGTAGATTTGGAGATAGACTAAATTACTCATACCACTTTTTAATGAAAACGATTTGTTTACATTTGATAAGATAACTTTACATAATGATACCAGGTGACTCTATTGTATTGAGGCAGTGGTCAGTGTTGTAGAGAAGAAAAGCTTGTATTTAACAGAGATCAGCATAAAGTTTTGCCTATAGAGAAAAACTGCTAAATTGTGGCTTTTTATTACACTTTTCAAGGGCACAAAAATATGCAGGTGCTGTTGACATTTTTTGAGTAGCAGTATTAAGTTTTGTTTTTATTCAAAATGTGAAAATCTGGCAATTCAGAAAATATCAGAGTGACAGCACTAAGATGTTCAACAACTTATAATCAAAAAAGAAATGTTGTGATGTAGGTTGTAACTATAACAGAACCAAATACAAAATCTGTTGAGATTGATGCTACAACTACATGCTTTTCTTAGTTGTATCTGCTTGCTTGAGGGACATATTCTTGTTCATCTTCTGGGAGTCCAAATCAGCCTCAGCCTTTGCCCTGATGCATATCACCAGCAGATGTAGTGTTAGTGCCATAGGCACAGACCAGATAAGCCTGGATTTGGAAAGCCAAGAATGTCATGTAATTATTTTGCAGCCTAGCATAATGTAGCCCTTTGGGAAGTCAGAAATATGCAACTATATCCTTTCTACCAATGTTTTACAGTTAAGTTCCTTGTTGTGTCAGCCAGCTAACAGTCGGAGAGGATTAGAGAAGAAGGAGGTTTGCCGAGGATGTGAGCATGCTGTAGTTACATAAGTACAAACCAAAAGAGAACATAAAAGGGACCAACATGATTCTTTAAAAGCTGGAATGATTTAAAATCAGTGTTATGTTGAAATAAAAATAGACAAGGAATGGGCCTCATTATGGGCCTTTCTCTGGTCTTCCACCAACATGGGTACACTGGAGGGGAGGGACAGAATTCAACTAGATCTAGACAGGTTACTGAGGTGGGTGGATGAGAACAGGATGGAATTCAGTGCAGACAAGTGCAAGGTGCTGCATCTACGGAGAAGGAACCTGCAACATACCTATAGGCTGGGGAACTCTCTTCTCAACAACACAGTGGCTGAAAGGGATCTTGGAGTCATTGTTGACTCTAGGAGGGACATGAGTCGCCAATGTGAGAAAGTGGTCAGGAAAGCTAACTGCACCTTGTCGTGCATCTACAGATGCATCACAAGCAGGTCCAGGGAGGTGATCCTTCCTCTCTATGCAGCGCTGTTCAGGCTGCAGTTGGAGTACTGCATCCAGTTCTGGGTGCCACACTTCAAGAGGGATGTGGCTAAGCTTGAGAGGGTCCAGAGGAGGGCCACTTGTATGGTCAGGGGGCAGCAGGGCAGGCCCTATGAAGATGGACTAAAGGGCCTGAATCTATTCAGCCTCCACAAGAGAAGACTGAGAGGGGATCTGGTGGCTATCAATAAACTCACCAGGGGAAACCAGTGGAAAATAGGTGAGGCTCTGTTCCCTCGGGCACCACCTGAGATAACAAGGAATAATGGCCACAAATGGATTGAGAGTAGGTTCAGGCTTGATATTGGAAGGCATTACTTTATAGTTAGGGCTGCCAGGCTCTGGAATGGGCGCCCAAGGGAGGTGGTGCTCTCCCCTACCTTGGGGGTCTTCAAGAGGAGGTTGGATAGATATCTGGCTGGGTTATTATGATCCCAGCACTTGTTCTTGCCCAGGGCAGGGGTTGAACTTGATCTGTTCAGGTCCCTTCTGACTCTAGAAATTATGAAACTATGAAACATGAAGCACCAAGAACTGTGTTCTCAGGGAACATTTGGAGATTTCTCCTTTTAGAGGGAACTTAGGTATTATGAAACTGTCCTAGCAAATTTCCTGAGGATAACTCTTCAATATTGACTCAGTAGAAAACTGCCCCTTTACATTTCTATTAGTATCACCTCTTGGTAGTAAGACTCATTGTGCTTCCTGCTTTCATTCTATTTGTCATTATTATATGTTTCCTTTCCTCTTTCTGTATACCATACTTTTACATCTTTCAGTTTTGCCTCCACATTTCTTGTCTTTCTCCTCTGCTGCTCTTCACCTTCTTGTCATCGTTTGTGTTTCATCAGTTTAGTTCACCTCACAGGTGTTGCCTCTTATAATGATATTTTCTTAAAAGAAGTTGCATATTTTCCCCACTAGGACCTTCAATATTTGTGACATGCTTAAGCTACTGGCACCCTTTTGTGACCCTGTTCTTCACTTCTTGTTTTCTCTCTGCATCCTATTTTTCTTCCAAGTTTGAATTTAAATGTAGAGGTTTTGGGATGGATGTTAAGTCTTTTTTGTTTGCCTATCATATTTTGAAGCCTCAGTGAATAAATAATTTTCTAACATATCAGGTCTCATCCTCATCCATAGAGTACTTAGAGACCTGGCTGGTCCCACAATTCTGATACTCTTGCCTATTTCCACTTGCTAAATTAAATTAAAAGACACTAAAAATACATTGAGTACTTTCCTAATATTAGCAGCTCAAGCAATTGCAGTAGTTGCCTCAGGGGTATTATGAGCCCATGAATGGAAGAAAAGCAGTCCATGATAACGAATGACAGGAAGAGCAGCTCAGAAAACATTCTTTCCAGGATGTGGTCCATACTCTAAAAACATTCAGAAGCCATTATGCAGCATCTCTATACAAGCATAGGTCAGATGTATTCTTCTTCTTTGAAGGCTGGATTTCTATTTAGTTTTCTAGCTGGGCTATATGAAGTCCCTGCTCTTAGGGACTACTTATACATTTTGAATTAGTCATTGGGTAGAATACATTAAAGCACTGCTGAAATGCTAACTGGAACTCAAGATTACCCCTCCCAGAGGTGTTTCCTCAATGACAGGCTCCCTCCTTTACTGTCTCTGGTGCCATAAATCTTGCAACTATTTTGTACAACAGTACAGCTTCAACAAGAGGAGAGGAGAATGCTCCTCACCCGAACTATACTATACCATACCTAATGGTTGTGGCACTTTACTGAGAGATGGGTGATGTGGACTTGAGTCCCTTCAGACTGAGGAGCAGAGTGAATTCAAATCTTCCTCTGAATTAAATTATTACATGAAAAACAAGCAGCAGCAGCATTAGTCCTGGTTATGTCTTGTCATCTTAACCTAGAGGGACCTAAACATGTCTAAGGTAGGAGGGTATTTGGGGCTGTGAAAATCAGTTTCACATAGGGTTGCAAGGAAGTACTTAGCTGGATGAGAGTGGCAAGAAATCAGATAGTCCCATTCCACAGTGTTTCCTGGTTGCTGGCTTAGGCATTTGTCCACTAAATGGACTGGTTATTGTGAATCCCATTACAGGACACATAAATCTCTCTGTTCATAAATACTGGGAACTTAGATGCCTATTTGAGGTTTGTCAATGCCAGAGTCATAGACTAACATTTAGGCATATTTATGTTGAGTGTCTACAAATCTAAGTCCCTTTTTGTGGATATGGACTAAAGTGACTTTTTGAATCTAGACTCAAAAGGGAAGAGAGCAAGTCAGTGTCTCAGTCTATGATACAGCCCAGTTCTACAAAGCACGTAGTCTTCCTAGTACTGCATAGTATAGACAGTAAGAGGGTATCAGACCGATACAAATTATAAAAAATAACCTGATAATCAATAGTATAAAATAACACTCCTGTATCATAATGAAAGAAAATCAATGCATTTATGTCAGCACAAAGCAACTGTGATACTCCACTGCTCTCAACTTTTATTACAAACCTAAAACTTAGGATTTTTAAGACATGTTTTTTTTAATCTTCAAAACTTCCCTAAAATAACCATAATCCCTTTTTACTGTATAAATCACAATGAACAAAGCTGTAGATAGATTACCATATTACAAATCAATAGCAGGATTCAGATGTTATTATAAAACCACTCAAGCTTGGCTTTTGTGGTTAATGATATCATCTGGACCCCTGAAATGATTAAGAACATGGTAATCCATTCCTCCCCATTCATTACCTTACAGATAATGACCATGTATTTGATTATATTAATATACAAGCAATATGCTCAAACTTTTCATGTATACAAAAAAAGGGCAGTAGAGAAAGCTTTTGGAATATAAATGAGGTCTGAAAGTATGTTCTGTTTAACAACAACAAAAAATTGATAAGTTTTGGCATTTTATGTTAAAAACATTCCCAAAAAAACAAAAAACACACAACTTTGTGGATGACGCATAGGAAATAATGGGAAAAACAGATGGCCTTCTTTACCATTTATAATGATTCATTTTCATTTGAGTGTAGAACCAAGAGGTGTTGCACTCCCTGGAAACTGCTCTGCTAGCCTGTCGTAAAGCAGCAGATCTGATGATTCACCTGTGACATAACTACTTTCTCTCTCATGCCATTTTCCCAATATATTTGGGTAGCTGTAGTAGTTAATGACTTATTTATTTTAATTTTTTATTCACTACTTGTTATGCAAATTCTTAACCAATTACCATGCGGTGAGAAAGGGAACGATATATGGCCTCTGTTCCTTGGTAAACAATTCCCTTGGTATTTGCACATTCAACACATCTGTCTCACTTTGTCTGCCACTCTCAAAAAGGCAATATCGTGGTGAGGTGTCAAGGGAAAAACAAAAACAGAATGTGAAGTACTTTTACAACAGAAAATCCGGGAAACAGTTGAAAGTCTTTAGTTTTGTGTTAATATTTACGGGAGTGTTCTATCATTGCTCCCCTCTCCTGTTACCTTGTGTCTCTGACCAACAGTGATTTTTTTTCCTGTTCTGTGTAAGTGTCACTCTGTGCCTTGTTCTCTTAGCTGCTGGTTGCTAAAGGTTGTAAAGATCACAAAGAGCTACTGTTTTTTTTCTTGAAGAAACTTATTGCAATTAAATATTTTTATTGGGTTTCTTAATTTTATTTCTTGAAGCCTTCTTTAGGGGAGGAGGGCTTAGAATTCATTGAAGGCTGCAGCAAGATACAAAAGAAATGCTAGACTGGAAAAGATCTACCATGTTTCAACAAAGTAAGCCCATTAGTTAAAAGGATCTTTCTGGTTTTCACTTTCCTTTTTAAAAATCCTAATTTGATAGATACTCACTATCAAGGATCCTGGTTTTCTCTGATAAACAAATCACAAATTCTCTGA